CTTTTTGTCCCCGCCCCCCACAAAAAAAAGGTGTCCAATATCAAGTATTTTCCTGGGATTTGCTGTCGAGCTTGAAATTCAAATATTGTTCAAACCATCTCTTACATTCCCAATGGAAAAACAGGGCCCTTTTATTTAGCCCCAGTCTGAGCCCAGCTGTCCTGGTTGTCCTCTGTCCATGAAGCCATTTGTTTGAAGGCCTCTGGAAGTGCCAAAAAGTCGTTGTCAGGTTGATATCAACAAGACTGGCTTGGAGGAGCATGCAAATCATTGGGCTAAATATAAGCCAACCTACTTCCTCATCCCTCCCCAACATAAAACCAGCTGCGTATCTATTTCTGCCTCGACACTCCATGAAAAGCTTTATCAAAGAAGCCGTGTGTCCCTTCTCATCCAGCATTTAAACATTTTAACACAGTAAACCTACAGTCAGTGACTACCAGGCAATATCAGTTCCTAAAAAAGACTGGAAATAAAAGCTATACCAGCTGGCCACATGTGAATAACATTTAAGCTGCGCAGCTCGAACTGGGAATCCATCTCAAACTGTTATGTAAGAATGCATAATATAGGACAATGAACTCATTTCTCCTCCAACATTAAACTGCACACTGCATTAAGTGTGCAGTTTAATGATGTCAAAATACAAAAAGTGCACAAATATGTGCATGCGTACAACCAAAAGCAAAGCAATTACTATAGGTGAGTACTATACGTATAGCATGAAATCAGTTACATCCCACTTTAAATAAAGGGACCATAAGCAGGTGCATCATAATTAGGGAGCAAAAAAGACCAAGGTAAGAGAGTAGAAAGACGGACATGATTGTGAAGAAAGAGTAGGAGCTAAAAAAAAAAAAAAAAAAAATTTTAAGCACTAAAAGGTAACAAGCGAGCCACTACTGCACCCTGCTGATAGTGACACCTGTCACATGACCGTGTGGATCAATCTGCAGATTCAATCTGGTATTTAATCATTTCAAGTCACACACTAAAGCTACTTTGAGACAATACCACAGGATGTTGTAACACACTGGAATTCAATACATAAAGGATCATTTTATAACGTTGCATTAGTTTAAGCTTGTTTTGTTTTTAGGTCTCCAACAGGGGCTGATATCAGCTAATATCAGCTCTTCATTAACGCTCCAGCAACATTTTCTAATAAAACAAGTCAGCAACCTACAGTGAGGACACCGCTTGACTCCACACCACCATCTGCACAGTGCACTGCTACATGTGCTACAGTGAGACCTCAGCGTACAATAACGACCGAGTTGGAGCCGCTCCGCTGGACAAGCTACAGATAAAAGCTTTCATTTTTGTGCATATGAGCAGAAACATATACATGGATGCAAACTTAGCTAAGACAGGTCACAGATCTAAACTCGAAACCTTATTTCTAAGCAATTACAGGTTTCTTCTAAAAAATCCTGCTCTTTGTTATGGAGATCATTTACTGCAGTTATGTCATTGAGACTAGATTATTGTAATTTGTTACTTAGTCACCATCTCCACAACATAACCTTTATTCATTTTGTCGCTATGTGCTAACGCCAGCTACCCGCTGCATCAGCAGCAGGGAGCTGGCGTTAGCACAACAAGATCTCTAGTTGTTGTCCAGAAACACAGGAACCACCATAAAGTCCAGTCACACCTCCAACACTTAACACCCACAACTACTACTTGGCTCTATATTAGGAGCCACTGACTCACCAGCCAAACACCACCTATTACAGCACCTACTGTTTATAATGCTGCTCCTCTCTGTCCTTTCCACAACACCTACCTTCACGGTTTTGCTGAGAATGCCAAGCCACAAGGTGACATTCACATGATTTAATTAGGAAAGAAACTAGCATACATTCAAGCGGATCCCAAGAGTGAGTTACTTAAAAGACAGTAAATGTATATTCAGTGTGCACGACTTCCTCAAAGCACTTCAAATATGTGTGAAATTGAAGCCAAAAAATTCCCAGCTAACTTTCCAGGAAGTCCTCCATGCCCCTGCTTTGAATTGGTTTCTTTTTAGATAGATTGCAAACAATTTGACATGTTGACGTATGTAAAGTGCAGGAAACAGCTCTCTTTCTCCATTGTAGTTGCTCCCATTTTCAGTCTCAACTGTTCTGTACTAATAATGTCTTACTTGGATACAATCCCCACAACAGCCGTCTAAGTAACAGTCTTCCACTTGAAATCAGCTATCCAATAGAAGCTACTTACATACAGAAATTAGCCTCTTTCCAACTCCAGGAAAGTGTCTGGCTTTTCAGCTTGTACATGTTAATCCACACTAAAGTGCTCTCTTACCATCAGTGCACTCTTCATAGTACCAGTCCAGCTCGTAGTAGTCTGCCTTAACAAACCTCTGGCCTCTGGTCTGGCCTCGTCTCTTCATCCTCACTGCTCTGACAGACAGATGTGCCAATGTCCCAGCATACTTAACTGTAGCATCCCAGCATGGTCAGAAACAAGCATCTGTCACTTTAACCAGTTTCCAGTAGAATCTGGTGGTCAATAGGTCAGCATCTCAATTCTTCTTTCTCAGCATGCTTAGCAGATACCAGAATGGACACGGTTACTTTAGGTAAGAATCTGCTTCTCATGATCAGATTTCTTTTCTGTTCCACACTGAGTAACACCAGCTCGTTGCTGTGTTATGCTTAATTTAATGCACTGCTGGTGCCATTTTTGGATGTCATCAGTCAGAACCATTATTTGCGTCATCGGCTGTCAGCTGGAAAAAACACAGAGTCACTTATTTGTATTTTAGTCCGTCAGGAAGTCTTTACCATTTTCAGCAAATTTTCCATCTTCTGCCAAATATGTCCCTCATCTTCCTTATTTTCTGTCGTCACATTTCCAAAGTCACTCCAAAACAAATCAGAGCAAATAATCAGGTCCATCCACTTATAGCTTCATGTCAGGCCACCTTCGGCTGCTGTCAGCTGTTACTCTGGCCATGTTGTCTTCTTAAGGTCGCAAAATGACCTTTTCCTTCCCTTTTGTAACATTCTTTAGCTCAACACATGGACAACCGCATCTCCAGCAATGACTCAATAAACACAGAGATACAGAGAGCGAGGCAGCAGCAGTCACGGGTTTTGCAGCAGAAATGATGAGAATGACGACACAGTGGGATGGGTGGGCTAAAAGGGTGTCTGTAGCCAATGAGGGGGGGGGGGAATTTCACCAGCTTCTTCCCGCCCACCATTCACATGTCAGCATTTCGCCCTCCCTCCTCTCCTCTACTTTGTCCTTCTGCGTGGTTGTTATGGAAACAGCCTCAGACTCCAAAGCCATGGCTGAGCAGCATGTAGATGCAGAGAAGGCAGTGTAGCGTTGGCAGGGGTGACGTGGCTAACTCAAAATGAATGAACCAAAATGGGGATTCTGGGATTTGTCATATAGGGAGTGATGAAGCGCATGCATGGGAGGCAGAAAGCACGTGAGAGGAACCAGTGCACATTATGAAACTACAGCGTAAAGCAGCTACATGCTCACAGGATGGGCTAAGACAAGGCTAACAACATACAAACAGCCAGTGTTTCTTACACAGTGTGAAAAAAAAGCAACTGCTGCTAACTAAGTGACATCCATGGTTTTATGCTAATGTGCCAGTAGAGTCATATAACTGCTTACTCATGTAATGCAGTAAGGTTGCATAAGACCCCATTACAGGATCAGTTAGAGCTGCTTGCCAAGTGAGCCTGCACATTAATACATGTATTATCATTGCATTTATATGTATCTGTGCGCTGCTATTTGATTTCAGGCATGCAGTTGAACCAAAAGATAAAATAATAGGAAACAACGCAATCCCGAACATACAGCTATTCTAATTAAAAGCTCAGTCTTTTTAAAAATGACATCTCCTACATGTTATCTGTTACTCTGCTGACAAATATCCATCACCAGCTGAGGCTGTGACACAAATTTACCAATCAGACAGTCCACAGTCTTTGGTACATGTGCATTTTATGTCATCACAGCATGGATTTGCCTTCGATTGGTCAGCTGCCTCATGTCACAACCTCCTCACACTCATCCTTCTCAGGCACCAGATCGAATCAATGTTTACTCGGATGATGCAACAGCGAGTAGTATATCCCCCTCCCCCACAGCGCTCCTGATTAAGATGCAAGTTGGGTTGGACTTTTCATTATATAACTGCTTAAAAAGATCTTAGCTCATGTATCGCTCCTGCTTAGGGCGCCGATACAGAGCCATCTCCTTGAAGCAGATGGGGATAGCTAGTAAAAATCTAAGTGGAGATACAGATGATGACAAATCACAGTGATGGTATTGACTGCACAGCAAAAAACAAATTTCATGATTTGTAATAATGGCTCTTCTGCCCCCTCGCTATCACCTGATAGGCTGGTTCTCTGTGATGAATGTCAATACCAAATTGAAGGTGCAGGCAATGGGGCACTGGGGTGTATTTGCAGCTCTTGATTAAGCCTATTTATAAGATGCTTGGTTTATTTTTAGAACATGTTTTTACCCTGAGTCACTATTCCAAGTAGACTTGAGTTAGATATTAATAATTAATTGTGAAGAAAAAAAACACTTTACACTCCCTTGGTTTGCCTTGTGCAGTGCTTGCACATGTTATCACGAGCCTCTGCATGTTTGTTTAATTCAAATTGTGTGTATGTGGGTCTGTATGTGCTCTAGCTGGCACAGATTGCAATCAAAAGCCACAGTTTGATAAGATAAATGCTGACGACGGCATAAAAAACACACAACATGCACACTGAGTACACAAAAAAGTAAAACATTAACCAGAGTGAGATAGACAGCAGTTATTAATTTTGTTTTGGCAACCACGGTCACTTGGTTCGCCCACACTAACGGAGACATGAATGGAGTCAACACCCTCTCTCATTTCCACAACATTAACGTTGCCATAACACTCAGATCTCTCATTGTCACTCTCCAACAACAGCACACGCGTGTTATTATATTTTGAAAACGCAGCATAACGAACTTACAGAAGTATTTGAGGGTCTCCTCAATCTGTTCAGTAGTCAGGTCAACGGCAGCGTCAGGGCCCAAGAGGGGAGTGTGCAGCCAATCATCTTGGTCATAACCGAAGATGGTGTCAGCCCTCAGCTTGTACACCGGCAGTTGTTCTTCCAATAAGCTGATAATCTCGAGCTCCGGCAAATCAGTATTGTTACACACATCTGCACAAGGAGAGAAGACAAAGTGAAGAATAACTGCTGCTTTCTTTGGAAATATTTACTTTCACATTTTTCATCAAGTTAGTGGACACAGGAAACACCAGAACTTCTGAGTTATTCAATTTAGTAATCAGGACAACATATTTCATTTAGTACACTCATGCAGTCTTCTGAACCGCAGGGTGTATGAGGCCCTCTAGTGGCCCACTGAGGAACTGGTTAGGTTTTAATTGCAGGATTTGGAAAAAAACCCAAAAAGGAGACCAGCTCAAAGTTGAGTTGGTATCCCTAATTAACCGTAGCTCTGCAATTGTAAAGGCTTGAAATGAGCGGGATGTCAAACATTTCTAATCATTTTTATAAAATACTGGCTTGCCAAACAGTTTAAATTAAGTTTGAATCCAGTGTTGTGCCACATCCTTATCTAGGACAATAAATAATTCCTCTGCCATAATTAAGCCCATTATTACCCCGAAAGAGATAAAGCAATAAAAAGCATAAAGCATATGCCATGCATACCAAACAAGATAAAACAAAATCAGGTCTCCAGTCTCTCTGCAGCCAGCTGATACGAGATTAACCTGCTCAGACATAATAAAGAAACAGATCTAAGTAGGTGTCGACTAGCTGCAGGGCTTCCCTAGTAACCTGAGATCAACAGTCTTAATTTTTTCCTATATTTTCCAGCAAAAATGAAAAATAAAAGATGTGAAATGTATACATCTCTTACATAGTTATATCCCAAATTGGGATTGCTCTCTGTATGGTCTCTTTCTGTATCATTTTAATAATGATTACTGGGTGTTTTTAGCCCTTGTATGACAGCCGCAGTGATTAGAGATAGTAAAGGGAGATGGATGGATGACATTACACGCCACAAAAGTTCCAGTCAGCTGGGATTTAAGAGGGGACTGAAGGATCAAGGCACGTGAGCCCTAACCACCGAGCCACTCAGTTGTGCACTCGTTTTTTTCCTGCACAAAATCAACAGCAGCCTTCCTCTGTGAACCACTGATTCAAGCTTTCAGCTATGCAGCTCTCTGTTCACACATCACTTTAGTGTGCTATTAAAAGCGTCATCCATTTTTGGCTCTATTAGAGAACACATTCTCTCTGCTTACACACAAATCAAGTTTGGTCTTTTTTCTTTTTCCCCTCCTCCACAAATATAGAACAGAGAAGCTCTTGGACTGACAGAAGGAGACAAAACATGGGAATTAACATACAGTAAAAATAAAGTTCTTTGTTTCTTTGTTCTGTCTCTCTATCTGCCCGTCTGTCTGTCTGTCTCCCCAACAATGCGCTCTTACAGTTTTTCTAATGCAGACTGAATGACTGACTGTGCTGAAAAGGGGAACACACACTCACAGCAGAGGCTGGGGAAACATTTAGCAAGCGCAGCCAGAGAAATTTCAACACAGATGTAAGTGCTGGATACCCAGTTCTATCAGAACAAGTGACATTTCACAATTCTCTGGATTTTGCCACTTTGCGCTGCCTCTGGTTTGTGTAAAAATTGTGTAAAAGTTCTCTGAGTAAGATTATGATTGATTAGCACATCTCTGGCAGATCATTTGGTTTTACGCAAAGTACAGCAGCAAATAAAATTATATTGACACTGAAGTTTTGTAACTGAAGTGTATTAAAAGCTTTCCTGCAGAGCACAATCTGACATTATATGAGCATGAATTCAATATACCCAAATGTACTGCAATATTTGGATTCTGATATGAAATATGAACAGTAAACTGGGTGATGTTTAAGAATGGTAACACTGCAAATGTCATCCAACAAGGTTTTGAGCTTTGTTTAAAGGCAAAAAGAAAGGCAGGATGAAATGTGTGTGTTTTCTGATATTAACATATATAGAAAATGTATAAATGTTACAGCCATTGCTCCTCCTCTCTCTGCAGCTGTAGGTACCAACTGTCTGTGATTTGACACTACTGAGCATTTAGGCCCAGACTACTTTGTGTCTCCACAAAGTAGAGAGGAGGTTTACACATTCGCCTAACAAGAGAACGATCCAGGTTTAATCCTGGGAGGAGAAAAAGTCCCTTTCGGTTGCATCAGGAAGGGCGTCCAGTGTAAAAATTGAAACAAATGGGGCTCCCTCTTAGAATAAGTGAGCAATGAAAGCAGATCCCCTGGACCTCTTGGGAAATGCAACAATTATACATATAAAAATATTTTTGAAATTATTTTTTCATGTGACAGAAAGAATATCGCACAACTGAACTTTAAATTTACTATGGACCATTTAAAAAAAATCTTTTTGTATCGCACCGGCTCTTCATAAGAGAGTGGATAGTAAAACCTTTTGAAGTAAAGACAGAGCACAAGCGGCGAGGACACCACAACAAAAAAGTTCAAGTTCAAATGTAAAAATAGGCCTGTCACACAGTCCATCTGAGCGATAAACACACCGCCTAACACAGCGAGCAGGCTACGAAGACACAGAGAGGGTTTTATCACATTAAAGGAAAGCTACTGACTGACTAGGATCAGCTGAAATGTTAGCAGTCACAAGTTGTTTGTGTCAGACCGTTCAATCTCCCAGACATGACTTTCAAATCTTTAACTAGAAACCATAGATCTGAAATGCAACATGGCTGCCTCCTGTTGACCAAAACAATGCACTTCTGCCCCCTGAGGTCAATGCTTGAAAAGCCAGTTTTTTCCCCTTCTTCCTAAAACACACTCACTAACAGGCTTTTAACTGTTTAAACCTGGAAATCTTTTTTTTTTTTTTACTATAAAACTGAACCCACATTATGACATGTGACACTTTTGATTTTTCACAGATTGAAAGAATTCAAACATAAAAAACATTTCCTTTGCAAAGCCAGCTCTTTAACACCCCTTTCAACATACAAGGTTAAAAAGACAAGAAAGCAACAGTCCCCGACAAACAGATAACAAAAGGGATAGCCAGAAGATACAGCGAGCGATCTGTCCAGATGTCAGTCAGACTGCTCATAACTGTCACTAGATATGAGCTGAAACTGCTAGAAAACCATTCTCCACACAGCGTACTCACTCATGGTGCCCGAGCACGACAACCACTGCCCCCTCTTGCCCTCCAATTACATTTTCCAGCGATCCTGGAGAGGGCAAGGTCGCGGGAAATGGGAAGAGCAGAGTACTAAAAGTTTTAGAGGACAGTACAGAGTGCAGGAGACCAAAAGAGAGGCGGAAAAAAAAAAAAAGAGGGAGGGAGGAGCGGCCGGAGCCAACCAAACTGGTCCCATCATGCTTGACATGCCAATGACGAGAGACCACATGGACCGCCCCACTCTCTCACTTTTCCACACTCTGGCAGCCAACAAACCCAGCTGGGCTCTGCACACAAGCTGAAAGACACACACTCTATTTTCCCCTATCCTGTATAAACCAACTGTGGCCACACCAGGTCTGATGCTGCTCAAGCTCAATTACTAAAACACTACTATCAAGAGATTGGGCCTTTCAAGATTTTAAAAGTGTGAGTGTGCGTGTGCTTCGAGGTGTGGTGAAAACACAGCCTGAGCCAAAAGATAATAAACTCAACATAAAGGAGATTTTGCTATATTAGAGAGCAAGTGTTAAACTACCACAAAAACAGACCAGCAGAAAAGGTTTCTCCTCGTTACAGCAGTAATCACAGTGTGTGCGCGACAGGAGCAAAGCTCCAGCAGAAAACCTGCCAAAACACCACTCAAGATTTTTCCCTGTAATCCAACAGATCCCAGCTTTTGGCACCAAAAGCTCGATATGATTACATGTGATCCTAAGCTGAAGTGTAATAGTCTTGGAAGCAGACTAATAGCTGCGCTAATCAGTTTAGAATCACTAGTTACCAAACTTCACGGTAATGTGAGCGATTAGGGTGGTGCACAAAGTAACCGATCTTTGAGATGTTTCATTTTAGAAATGAGGTAATTTCAAGTAAAAGGAAGTACAGAAGTTGGTGCGTGGTTTGATGCAAACTATAATCCACTAACACTTAGAAAATTGCCTCCATTTAAGTTGTAGTGCTGCTCCGTGGAGTTGCAGCAGAGTGTTATCCAGATTTAGATTGCAGCACAAGCAGCTGAGGGTGCACTCGTGAAATAAAGCGCAGTAGTATGTCAGTGTTATCAAATGTCACCGGCAGCTCACTCATCTACACGTGGGTGGCGAACCAGGGTTTTCAAATGTCACTAACCCTGTGAATCTGCGTCTAGTGTGTTTGCCAAGGTGTTATTTTTTTGTAAATAAAAAGTTTATTACTAATAAGTACTAATAAGTCCTACCTGACAGGTTGAAAGTAAACATCTTGAATGACAAACGTAACATGGGATTGGTTGTTGGATTTCCCAATAAATCAATACAATTTCCATCAAAGAAGGATTTAACTGTGGATTATAAATCACAAATATTTGGTCAAGTGACTCCCACTCTTCCAGGACAAAAACCATGCAAAATTCCACACAACAATGCTTCTCGTTTGGTTTGTGCAGTTAGTACAAAGAGATATTATGATATCTGTATTAATAACTAACTGCACAAACCAAACGTAGGCAACCACAGAAAATATATACACATGTATAATACAGATAGTTAGTATTTTTCATGTGTATATATTTTCTGTGGGTGCCTAATATACTTCTGATAACCTGAGTCACAGAGCAAAACCAACTTCCTTTGTGTAGAGCTCAATCGTGCCTACTGGTCGAGGGATGTTTGCACGAGATCTGTGGTTCTGGTTAGGGGTCTGGCACCGGATCATTTGAGTCCTGTGGTATGAAAGATAATGGTCTCTATCGAAGGGGCTTGTTCCGGGGCATGCGGAAGATGTTGCATCAGATTGGGATCAGCGCTTTGGTCTCTTGGTTTCTGAAGCTGTTTGCGAACTCTCCAGCTGGTGGAGGAAGCAGCTGTCGGGGAAGTTACACCAATCTGTTCTTAGTAATAGTGCGCTTAAAAGTAAGAATCCACATAATACAAATCTGTTTACTTGGATACAAATGTGAGCTGGCGATTTTGATTAGTTGGTCATCCTGTGGAATGACACGGTAACGCTGCATCACACCACAAGCGACATGGCAACCAGAGACAACAGAGAGTCAATCCCGTTCGGTGATGTCAAGCGACTATGGGCAAAATATCCGCTGATGAGACAAAGTAGCTGTGACTGGAGATATTTTTTCAACTTATATATCTATACAAATACAGATGCAGGCAACAGGAGTCTGGAACGTTCACAAGTGACCAGCCGTCGGCTACAAAGCGATGCACGACGAGCCAATCGTTTCCAGTGTGGACGCAGCTTAAAGGACAGCTTTAACAGACAAGAAATGAAGGGCAAAGGAATGCTTAGACATTAAAA